TTGCTCTCTAGGCGTAAAGCGTTTCTCCCGGTGGTTCGTTTGCTGGGTTGCTAGAGCAGAAGGGAACTTAAGAGGACTGAGGGTTTCAGTTTAACGGATCTGGCGCCGATCCCCTCATTCTTCATGTCTCTGTTTAAATACTCCTGCTCTGGATATCGTGAAAGAACAGATTATCTTGGAGAAAATCTTACCTATGTGATTAATCAATACTCATTTGATGGCCCGTAATCAATTTATCAATAATTTGTGTGACTAAAAATCAGGAAGAAGCTAAAAAAAAAATCTTAATTCTATATAACAACTAAATATTATACTTTTCTCCTTTAGGTGTTGAATTTATAACATAAAAATATCTACCATTTATTATTTACCACCCAAAGCTCTTTGAAAATCAGACCCTTGTTTTCAGTTTAGGTCCTCTGCTAAAAGACAAGAACTGAATTCAGAATAAAGAGTAGCAAAGTTGGTTCTTAAACACTCCCACCCCCCAATTTAAGCATTTGTTATAGGAGGCTTTTCTCTTTCTGGTCAAGTATTACTGGTAGTTTGTAATGGGGAACAAGAACCGCTTACTTCCACTCCTAACTCAACTCTGGCGGTTCCAGTGGGCTTTGGTTGAGGAGTTGCTGGGAAGAGGGAATAGATGGATGGATGGATGGATGGATGAATGGATAGACAGATAGATAGATTTTAACTTTGTAAGTTGCCCAGAGTTCCTTTGGTGAGACAGCTGGCAAATAAATAATAATAATTAATAATAATTTAATCATCTCATTGGAGAATGGCTTAGACAGAGTCTTTATGCATAAATACCCTTGCCACCTAAAACTGTGTTCATGTGTTTCTGCTCCAGTGACCTCCTATGTGCTTAATTTCACCCAATCTTTCATCCAAACTAAACCACAAGCTTCAAAATATGATTTCAAATTTGGTTAACTTAAACTTCCTCTTTCTTTAGCATCCAGTGACATCTTCTATTTAACTCCAGGTTTTTTACCCTAAGGTATACATTTTGATATGCTTTTCTTTCACTCTTTAAATGCTACATGAGTTGTAAGAACAGGTTTTATCTGCAACAAAAATAATATTCAAGCTAAATCTCTCATCTTAATCATAGAAATTCTCCCTGACAATTGTAGTTTTTCTCTCTTTATCAAATCTTTATTAATGTCAACCCATAGCTTAACATAATTTTTTTGAAACAATATACAGTTCATATTTGTCAGATTAACACCCAATTATTTTTCTTTTTATTCAGTCTCAAAATCTGATTTTTTCATCAATTGTTTCACCTTCTACATATTTTATTAACATCTTTTTATTAGTATTATAGTCCCATTGCTCATTAATATAGCTCTTTTTTTTAAGTTTCAAAACTATTTTAATTCTTATTTTGTTGGATACAATGATTATTCTGCAGATCAATTGTCCCTGTCCTTTGGCAGAATATTGTATTTTTTTTCCTCTCTTCTTGCCATTTGACAAACACTCCACATTCCTTGCTTCCTGGGTATACTATGTTGCCGCACAAAGTTTCTCTCTCCCCCCTCCTTTAATATTTTCCCTCAGGATATATTTTGTCAGCTTCTGGGTATTACCCAATTTAGTTAGTGGTGCATCCTCTTTGATATGGATGGTGTCATTTTATTTTACATAAATATACAGATTGCAGCCGTGATTTTAAAAGATACATAAGCCCTGGTCAACCAGTATCTTGCTCTCATCCTATTCTTGAATTTCTCTACATATTTGTAATGTTAACTAAAGATAATAAATTCTATTCAAAATATACAGTACTCTGCATTCTATGATGCGTTCCTTTCTTGTGATTAAAGAAACAATAAAATTATTTCATTGGATTTTTCTTTTCTTTGTAAAGGAGCCTTTACATGTTTCCCTCTTTTTGTTTTCCCTATTTAAAGCCAAATTTTGCCATGATGAAAATAATGGCTGTTCGA